CTGCTCTCTAATCTGGCACCCTAACCTCTACGCCAAATTGTCTCTGATATTACACAAGAGGCACTGAGTTTTATAAATATGCGCATGATGGTGTAGAATAATCATATCCAAGGACCAGTGGTGGGTTTCAAAAAATTTTGGAACCTCTTCTGTAGGTGTGGCCTGCTTTCCGGGTCCACTGGTGGAACCTCTTCTAACCAGTTCGGTAGATTTGACAAACCGGTTCTACCGAATAGGTGCGAACTGGTAGGAACCCACCTCTGGTTTTCATCTTCCCCAGGCCAGGGCAAACATAAATCTGTGATTCCTTTCCCAATTTGACGCTTGGCTGGAGGAGGACCCTTGCTGGCTGGAATGCAGGGTGGTGCCCCTTCCCCATTTGGGCCCTGGCTTTTCTCCTCCCTGGCCCAGAGGACGCAACCCAGGGGAGACCGTGGTGGAGCAGGGTGCAGAGTCCCCCTCCCCAAGGGGCCTCTCTCAGCCCCCAGCTGCTGGCTGAGCTTTGGTGTCCCCACACCCACACCCACCCACTTACTCTCAATTTGAAGCACAAAGAAGGAGGGATTGTCTGAAAAAATTAATTCAAATGTCCATCAGTCATAAATTATTTATTAAATTATTCACGGCTTCAATATAAAACTTAATTTATCATCATATAAACTGGTAAAAAAACCTGGCAAATACTTATTAAATTAGTAATAAATATGTATATTAAATATTCACACATGCACACACACAAACAGTTTGTATCTCGGTACAGAGACTTTCCAGCTGAAGAAAAAGTCCCTGACAATGGGGACACCACGTCTGGCTTTGCCTGGCCGAGATGTCTGGGAGCCTCGCAAAGTCTGGAGCAGGGCAGCCTTCCGCTCACTGGCTGATGAGGCTGTAATTCACAATCCTCGGGCCTCCGATCTCCTGAGTCACGGCCACAGTATCCTCAGACTGGGTGGACGTGGAAATGTACCATCCTGGGCACTCGGCTGATTCGAACCTTGTGTACTTTCCGATGTCAATTTTGTAGAAAAGGAAGCGGCCCAGCTGAGATTTGTCAAGGTTCCCTTGGAGGGTGGCTTCCTGCAGAGAGAACAACTGGGTTAATTCTCAGAATGCAGGCTGGGAGGAGTGGATGTCTACATTTGGGCCTATATCAAGGGCAGTGGGCTTGCTTTAAGCCCAGGGGTCTCCAACCTTGGCAACTTTAAGCCTGGAGGACTTCAACTTAGAGTTGAAATCCTCCAGGATTAAAAGTTGTGAAGGTTGGAGACACCTGACTTAGATGATCCTTCTGGTCTTTTCAACTCTTTCATTCGTGGCTAGGGAATTCTGGGAGCGGAAGTCCGCCAGGCTTAAAGTTGCAACGGTTGGAGACCCCTGCTTTAGCCCCAAAAGCCTTCTGAAGTATAGAAAAACAGTGTTGGAGGGGACATTGGAGGTCTTCTAGTCCAACCCCTGCTCAAGCAAAATATTAACTTATTCCCGGTTGTCTCTCAGGGCTGGATCCCCAAACATTAGCCCCTTAAGTGTTGTGTCGCCTTGCAGAAGGCAATGATTGGACGATGTTTGGGCTGACTTGATTTTTCAACCAAACTCTCTGGTTTTCTGCCCTCCCTGCACTGTTCCAGCCACAGCCTCACTTTCAGTTGAACCTCATGGAACCCCACAACATCACTGACCCCCACCCTCCAAGGGCCATCCCTCATAACTGGGGCTTTTCAGGTTTGGTCATTAGCCTTCTTGGTGCTCATCACCATTGCTGTTCTTGCCAGAGCTCTGGGCTGCTTCTCTCTTAGGATTCACAGGCAGCCCCTGTTTGGAATGGGGATGGGGGCTCCAAGCACACACTGACTATTCAGAGAAAGAGGGAAGAAGAGCTGGAAATGGGCACCATCCACCCTGGACAGGCTAAGCCTGCTTGGATTTAAGCCACATTTTAAGTCACCAGAAGACCTCCAAGGTCCCTTCCAACTCTGTTATTCTGCCCCATGGTTGCACTTCAACAAAACCCGACAGAGCAACTGACCTCCAACTGCAGCACTGGCAGCTGTCCCTCTTTCTTTTTGCAAGAGATATAAAGCTTCCCCTTCTGGATGCTCAAAGCCACAGGGACCTTTAGAGTTCCAGCCTCGGCTTTTGGACGATACATAGACATCTTTAATTTCACTGAAAAAATAAAACCAGTGGGGAAAAGTATTGTTAAGACAGAGAAGATGGAAGGCACAGGTTGGGTTGCCCACTAATTCAGCCCGGCAAGGGAGGGATAGCAGCTGGGCTTCACCTGCTTGCTCAATGTTTGGGCCCTGAAGATGCATGGCCACCAACTGTGCGGGCTCCTTGAAGACGAAGGACTTGTGGTCAGAGTCCTTGATGTCGTAGATGATAGTCTTCCTGAGGTGATAGGTGGAATCAGTGGCCTCTGTGCATCCGTAGATGTCAAAAGTGACCGGTTCTGAGCAGGAAAAAAGAACATTCTCATTTGAGTTATTCATTCCCCTCTTAAGGCAACTGTGGATGTTGCTATCACCGAATCCCCCACAAGTTCAGCCAAATAAACTTTGGACTTTCTGCCCGTCTCCAATAGCAGCTGACCCTGCTGGCCTAAAACTGTCACTAAGGCGATGGAGAGGAGAAATTTGGGGAAAGCTAAGTCACTCTCATAATTGAAATAGAATTATTTCTCCAGCAGAGAGATAATTTTTCTAACCCTCTAGAGGATTGCTAATACAAAACCCTAAACATTCACCTGTCAGATACTTTTTCCTAACACTCCCTTTTTTTACAAGCTGAATCTATGTGGTCCAGGGTGACTATCAGTAAAGCCATGGGAGCAATCCTTGAGAACTATCTTCCAGCCTGTATTTTCTAGGGCCATGATAGTCAACCAATGGAACCTGTGCCAGAGGTGGCATGCAGAACCCTCTTTATGGGTTTGTGTGCTGGTCTTCGTGGGTGCCGGAGTGCCAGAAAACAGCCCCCAAAACATCCAAAAACCCAAGCTGTTTTTCAGGCCGTTTTCTGGGCTGAAAAATGGCCTCAAAAATGCCCCCAAAACAGGCTGTTTTTCGGGCCAAAAATGGCTTGAAAAACAGCCTGAAAATGTCTCCAAAACACCCCCCAAAAATCCCCAAAACAGGCATGCACACGCCAGCCAGTTGGTCTTTGGGTTTCCGGCACTCCGGAATACACCCACATGCATGCATCTTCCAGTTTGGGCACTCGGTGCCGAAAAGTTTTGTCATCCCTATTCTAGGACTTGCTGCAGGAGCTTCTGCTTCAAATTTGATTCTGTTAGTTTTTCCTTCCACTTGTTGGGCCTGAGAAATAACATTCTGCTGGGAGGGATTTCTTACAGTCTGAAAACATAAAGGAGGCATTTGATGCTGCAAACTCTACCTAAGATTGTGCTCAGAATGTCCATCAGGTCCTCGTCCGAGAAGAGCCTGGTGGGAGACTTCTTCATGCTCTCGCTCGCAATGACAATCAGCACGGCCTTCCTGAAGCTCTTCTTGGGCTCATTCTTGGTCACGGCTACCTGGACATCCATCTCACTGACCTGGAAGGTGTCCTGGGGCAAAAGAGAAACGAGCAGAAGGTTTTTATAAAAGTTTGCTCCCTTAAAAGGTAGCACCATGAAGGAGCAGCAGAACAAAGTCATTTCCCATCCTTCAAGACAAAATACAGCTATCGTTTTTATAAACTTGGTGATTATATCTAATACACACCCCCACACACACATACACGCACGCGCGCACACACACACGCACACACACACACACACACACCAGGCACATTAAAGTACCTGTTCACAGACAGTAAATATGGCAACAGGTTAAAAAAAGAAAGATCATTACTGCAAAAGTCCTTCATCTGCAGCCTGGCAAGCCAAATCCAGCATGCTGCGGATTCACACTTCCACAAAGTTAGATCCCTGATTGTGATGGATTGTGGTTTTCAGCAATAAGTCATGATGGCTGACGTGGCCACAAAGAATAGGATGCCATTAATGGCTTCCATATTGTAGGACCTAGAATCATTTGCAATTTTTTTTGCAAGTTATCTCGATTCCAGTGATGGAGGAATTTGAAAAGTGAAAAGTAACCAATCAAGTTCCGGAGATGCTGAGTCTAATCCTAGCCTGGGGGCTTTCCTTCTCCTCAGGGACAGGGAGAGGCTGGGAAAGAAGTATGGCAGGTCCATCAGGCTGAAGAGCTTCAGCTGAGCTCCAGATACTCCTTGGAGCACAAGATGGCTTGGAAATGCCGTTTTGGTTGCAGCTCCAGCCGAATGCTGATGAAGGAGGTGCCAAAAGTCCTTGTCTGACCAGAGGAGCCCTGTTCCAGAAGAAGATGGTTGAGCCTCTTACCTTTGACGGGTACGGCTGGTCCGCTGCACAGAACTGCATCCTGCTGATGCTGAGAAGCATAGAAAAAAGAAGTGAGTCAGCTCTTTTCCCTTATTTCTGACAGTTTGTTGCAATTAGAGCAGAGGAAGGATTCCTGGAGTCAGAGATGACACACACACATTTATTAAAGTCTGTCTTTTCAGATAAGACTTTTGCTTTCTTATCTAGAGCAAACATGAAAAGGCAAACACAGAGACAGATAATTCAGGGTAAACTTTGTACCTGGAGAAAACGGCTGTCAGACTTCTTCCTGATCTTCTGATCTGATCCTCTCTAGACTGGCCTCTGCTCTCCCGGGGAAGCCCTTATATTCGCTGTGGCAGCTGGGGAGGAGGAAGTTTCTCTCATGCAGAACTCCCCTTCCAGCAGCTTCTAAGAACAGGATGCGGCCGATTGTGAAAATGGAGAAATCCTTAAAAACAACAAAACTTTGCATAAAAATTAGACATCTGGGAAATTATTGAAAGGATGTTCGGTGTGAAACCATTCATGAAGGATGACTTAATTGCCCAGGAAGGAATTCCTTGCCCCACCCCTGCTGAGTCTCCTCAGTTCAGCAGAGTCAAGAGATGCCTCTGGGCTCTTGCAACAGCAACACAGGGCCTCCGGCCCAGGGGCTTCTGCCTTCACTCTTCCATTGCCGGAGGTGGTCTGTTGGAGATGCTCAGTTGCAGGGCTGGAAACTGCAGTCAGGGAACAGTTCCCTGGCCTTGGGCCTTGTGACGTTACCCATATCACTGCTGAAAGAGCTGCGTTGACTGCCAAGGTGCTGCTGGCGTCAGCGAAGGCTGTTGCGTTATTCCATAGTACCCTCATCATGTTGGGGTCAAGCTAAGCCAGATGGCCTTCAGTCTGCCAACTTGCAATTGTAGGCGGAAGCTGCCTTGGGTGATCCTCCTACAGCAGAATTTAGCTTTGCACGAATTAGAAAAAAATGGGTTGTTTTTTTTTGGGGGGGGCGGGGGTGTCCTGACCCTATTCCTGGAATTCCTCATGGAAATGAAACATGCTCCAAACTGATTGCAATGCTCCTAGATTACTTGTCAGGTTGTAGCATCCTTTGTGGACTCCTAGGAGAAATGCTGGTGGGACCGTAGTTGGATTCATTGGCCAAGACTGAATGATGGAACCTGAAGGCCAATCATTGTTCCAGATGATAACTTTTTGTAGCTGTCCAATCTATCCTGTAAAAAGAGTAATTGGATTGTGCTGAAATTGTACAGCACAACATGCTCCAGAATCCCTTTTTGAGGGAAATGGGAGGTTCAGTAATGTGAAAGATAAACAAGCAAGGAAACAAACAAAGGAAAGGCAGAACGACAGGAAGCTCCACAACGAGACAAACTGGAATAGCAGGCTCCAAGGAGTTCTGTGTTTAGGCCTGTTTTCAATTGGGGGGGGGGGGAATCTGAAATCTAAATTTATGCAACTAGCCAACAGAGGGAGGAGGCAGAGCAGCAGACACCTGCTGGAGCCCCTCAGGGCTGGTTCTCGGGCCTGGGAGACTTTCACTGCTGATTCACAGCTGCCCTCCTGTCCTCAGATTCTCCGGGTCAAAGGTCTCAATCGCAGGAGCTGAACTTGGGGTGTGAAGCTGTCACCATTGGGCATTTCCAGGCTGCGTCTTGTGGTTGCGTCAGTCACTTGTGGTTTCGATAGGAAAAGGATTTGCACTCTGAGTCATTGTCCTTGCTTGTCTTCCTTCCTGGGTGGTTTTACTCTTACCAGCAGCCCCACAACAGTGGCTCCAGGTCTTTTGCCACCTTCTGATCCAGAAAAGGCCTCAGGTGTCAGGCCCATCCCTTTCCAATGCTCTCTTAAGTACACCTGGCTTGTCAGTCTGAGGGAAAGCCCCTCCCTCCCTCCCTTTCCCTCTCCCCCCCACTCCCATCTCCGTGACGTGGGTAAAAGAGGAAGAGGACGTGCGCATGTAAGAAAACGCACACTTTTTGCTATGAATTACCACCCTATGAATAATGACCATTCCTTCTTAATATTCTTTCATCATCAAGTTTCCCAGCGTAATAACCAGAATTTAGAAATATTCTGGTTGGGTGGACCAGATACAAACCGTTTGTGTGTGTGCATCTCTCTCACGCACGCACAGGAGAGGGCTCCTTCTCTGCAGAGTCATTGGCCTTCAAAACTGACCGAAGGACTGAAATGAGGGAAAAGGCGAGGAACTCATTAAATGTTCAGACACTAAGCTGGCAGGAATAGGCAGCACCCAGAAGACAGCCTTAACATGTCTTCTTCCTCAAGGAAAAAACATCGTCCAGTTGCCTCTTGAAAAAGCACCTTTGAGACAACCATGACCTGGATGATTGTTGAATCTCCATAGATGTCCCAAAGGTGCTTTTTCAGGAGGCAATTGGACTTTTCTTTGAAGACGTTTCTCTTCTCATCCAAGAAGCTTCTTCAGCTCTGACTGGTTGGTGGGGAATGGAAGGATTTAGATTCTTCAGAAATTCAGAAATTTCTTGCCTGCCAGGGCTGCTGCTACTCCATCAGCAGTGGTCTTTAAGAAAAGATTGGACAACAACTTGACATTGATGGTGTAAGGTCTCCTGCCTTGAGCAGAGGGTCAGACTAGAAGTCCGCTTCCGATCCTGTGAGTCTTTGAATAGTCAATGAAGTGTTTTCCATAAAACTACCATTGTTTGTTGTTGATAGAGAAATCATGACTTTAATGCCAGAATATCTAAAGGCAACTGGCCTAAGTAGGAGACAAAAGGAAAGTTATAAGATGTGACAGGAAAACAAAGACGCTGTAAGGCACATTAAGGCTGTGGTTAAGTTTAAACATACAATAAACTGAAAAAAATCAAGATATGATCCCTGGGCAGTAATGTGGACCTACATAAAAACTCCAACTAATAGTTTTTTAGGATTATTGTAGCCTAGATATATGTAGGAGTACTTCCTTTTATTTTCTTCTTTTCTTTTCTTTTCTTTTTTTGGTTTTCAAGGAAGCTTTGCCTTTTTGTAGGGCTCCGTTTCTGGAAGTAGTTTCTTCCTAGTGCTGTGGGGGAGGCCTGCCCAAACGTCCCCAGCTGTTCTTGGGATTGAGGCAGGACCAGAAACCGAGGTGCTCTGAACAACTAGACTAAAGTGGCTGTTTCTAGAGATGGCAGCCTTTTCCTCCAAGGATGGGATGGGTTGACCGGGTAGACACAACCTTGTGTTTTCCTGACGAGGCTGGAATTCACAGCGGCTGTGTGTGGAGAAGATGTGGGGGCCATTAGATAGAGATGGCAATCCTGTGGAGTCTCTCATCTGTCTTTTGAATGGTGTCTGTCTGTCTGTCTGTCTGTCTGTCTCTCTCTCTCTCTCTCTCTCTCTCACACACACACACACGATCAGAGCCCAAAGAAGAAGTACAAGAAGTACAAATTTGTGCTTATTATTTTTGTGATGAATCTAATTAAAATTATTATAATATAAAAATATAGAAAAAAACAAAAGTTAGAAAACAGAAAGAAAGAAAATAGTGAATAAAGGAGAAAACAAAAACAATTATCTCAATCTTTTACTTTACATTTCTCAGCATTTCAAATCATTTTTGTAGCAACAATTATTCTAATAACATTTGAATGGCGTTAATAACATTAACTATCTATAGAATATAGAATGTTAATAACATTCTGTAATAAAATGATTCCATGGTGGTGCAGTGGTTAGAGTGCAGTATTTATTGCAGGTGACTTCTTCTGACTGCCGGCTGCCTGCAATTTGGCACTTTGAATCCCACCAGGCTCATGATTGACTCAGCCTTCCATCCTTCCGAGGTGGGTCAAATGAGGACCCAGATTGTTGCAGGCAAGAGACTGACTCTATAAACTGCTTACAGAGGGCTGTAAAAAGAACCGTGAAGTGGTATATAAGTCTAAGTGCTATTGCTAATCATCAAAACCTAAAATCAATGTTTCCTCCTCATCCCCCTGAGAGTTTATAGAGGTCTTCCAGCAAGAGAGGTAGCTGATTCCTCCCATCTGAAAGATAACTCTAGGCAGATAGGATGCCACTCCCTACAGTTCCAGGCCGAGGTTTAGGAGCTACGCTTACAACAAATGTGAAGGCGTTTATGAATTTTGGACAAGACTGGAAGACCTGGGCAGGTATATGGTTGAGGCCAGATGAAAAAAGCAAAGAAAAAGTGGGAGAAGAAGTAATTCTAGAAACGGTGTCTGCAGTCGTACCAAAGTGAGGTTTTGGGTGCAAGAACACAACTCGCAATTGGGTCTAAGGCCAGCCGAATTGGCTGAAGGCCACGTAGCTGCAAACGTTTGGAGGCCATCGGAAGGGAAGATACAGTGGAGCCTCTTAGGAAAGAGAGATTCTCAACTCTGTTAGGTTCTCTTACTTAAGGAAGTTGGTTGGCAAGAGAAGCCCACACACTCCTTAGCCCCCAGAAAGGAATGGCGATTTTACCAATTAATTTTTATAGCTGTCATTGAGGTGTCTCCTTTTGATTGCTCGCTCGGTGGTTCATCCTTTTCATCTATATAAAACTGAACCCTTTCCTTCATCTTTCTATTGTAGGAAGTTAAAACCCATCATTCTCCTAGAAAAATGAAATATACTGGGAAATATTGAAACGTCAGAATATTATATTTCCCTGGATGTGGAAATGGAGAAACATGTTTTAGGTAGGAAACAGATTCTCTCTCAATAGCCCCCACCTTTGTCAATGGGCCACTAAAAGGCCTGAGCCAGTCTATTCTACATAACAAAGATCTTCCCCCTTCAGCTCCAGGGTGATGGGGTTAAGGCATGATAGTATTAGCCCTTTACCCATCTCACCACAGGGCACCTGGGAAGAAGAAATGCTCAACCAAACTTGGACTCAAAGCACAGCCTACAGAGTTGCCCCTGTATGTCCTCATGGGAGTCTGACAACCAATCAAAATACAAGATCAAGATCAAAGCCCAGAGAGGACATAAAACTAGGGGCTTTCAGCATCTCGCTCTCTTTTATCTTCTTCACCCAACATCTGGAAGCCCCCCTTTTCTGTTCAAAAGCTCAAGCCATGTGGTCC